AAATGGTCAGGTGAGTCTCAAGCCACATCAGCAAGTTCCAAAACAAAACACAAGACAAAATCCCAGCAGCAGAATCAATAGGAACAGCCAAGTAACTATTCAAAGCACCACCACAGGCCGATGGCTTTCAGGTCAGCTTCATAGCCACCAAAGTAATTGATGATCCAAGCACATGAAACCTTTCGGTTGTACCCAAACATTGAGCCACACAGAGCTTGGTATCTGTGTTTTAATTGGGTGTTGTTTTCCTATTCTATGATCAATAAGGTAATAATACAATAATACAATCTCAATCTCTCTCTCTCTCTCTGTCTCTCTCTGCATACATTGTTAAATACAGCCAGCAGCAGCTACTATTCAGTATGAGTTTTCTCTTTCCAAGCCCCTTCTCTTAGTGGTTTGAAACAGGCTCATTAGCTGGAAGAATCTTGGGGCACACCCATTGTAGAGTCATTGGGTACGTATGGTCTTCAGATTACCGTGGCCACAGCTTTGTCAACTTGATGTGGCTTGGCTTTGATGTCAGTGTCTGATAAGCCTGTTCTCATGAGGCCCGGGGCCAGTTTTGGGCTCTGCTTCATCTCCTAGCCAGTGCTTTAGAGTTTTTATTTAGGCAGCTGCTCATTTGTAGCTTGTGTACCAATGGGCACAGACTGTTTTATACTGCAGAAGTAGCCCCTCAAATCTTGATGGCTTAAAATTTTACAACATTTCTTCCTTAAGCTTGTGACACATTAGCTAGGGGTCTCTGTGTGGTGTTCGCGTGAACAAGATAGCTACCATTTTGAGCACTTCTGGTGGCTTTGATATGAAGAAATAGAGTGTGCCTGCCACATACTGGCTGTTGAAATTGTCACCTGATACTCCTCTTTTCCTTACCTTCTCTCTCCACAGTGAAATCACATGGTGTCACAAACCACTTCAGCAGAGGTGGACTGAGGAAGCTCACCGAAGCCTGCTTTTCACCTGTGAAGAGTCAGGAACCAAGGATCTACGACACCTAAGCAGCCAGGTCACATTTCTCCCGTGGTTCTCATCAATGTGTGTAGGTGTGTAGATTTTTGAAATCCCAAACACTGCTTTTTAGTGCCTATTCTAGTTACTGGGGCTGAGGGAGGTCCACCACTAAATATCCCCCATATCTTGTTTTAACTCTGTGACTGGGGCAGGGCTGTCACTAAGTATCCTCCAAATCTTTGTTTTTATTCTGTGATTGGGGCAGGGCTGTCACTAAGTATCCTCCAAATCTTTGTTTTTATTCTGTGATTGGGGCAGGGCTGTCACTAATTATCCTCCAAATCTTTGTTTTTATTCTGTGATTGGGGCAGGGCTGTAACTAAATATCCGTCGTATCTTGTTTTTACTCTGTGATTGGGGCAGGGCTGTCACTAAGTATCCTCCAAATCTTTGTTCTTACTCTGTGATTGGGGCAGGACTGTCACTAAGTATCCTCCAAATCTTTGTTCTTATCTGTGACTGCTGACCACCTTTCCCACCCGCATTCTCTGTCTTTTAGTTCAGAGGTTCTTGGGTAAGGAGGGCAAGACTCTGAGCAAATGCTTTTTATTTCCCACACATGGGTTTGTCCATTCTTTTGTAGCTGGGTAGGGTAGATTAGATTAATAATAGAAGCTGTGGGAGTTTATTTACATGCAAAAAAAAAGGAAGGTGAACGATTGCTAAGAGCTGAAGACAGAGGAGAGTATAATTAATAACTTTTAAAATAAAAATGAGGTGATTTGTTTAAGAAAGTGATGTGAGATGGGTATGATTCCAGCTCATGCCTGTAATCCCAGCATTCTGGAGGCTGAGGCAGCAGGATCACCACGAAGCCAAACTAGACTACATAGTAAGCTCCTGTTTAAAAAAAAGCCAAGAAAAGACAAAAAAAGAAAGAAAGAAATGGCTCTGTGGATTTGAAAAGTTGCTTTGATATCTATCATTGTCTCAATTTTTTTTCTTTAGAGAGAATTGCTCTCAATTGCTATTATGTGTTTTGACGTAGACAGCTATTTTCAGTAACTTTGGCTTTTGGTGTTGCAAGATATATTAAACCTCTGTCCCGCTTGTCATTTGTTGTATTTCCTTTGTGTCTCCAAACCATTCAACTAGTGGACCCCACATACTCTATGCTTTATGTAATTTTAAAATTGTCAACTATTATTAAAGGTGGAATAATTGAGAGATGACTGATATGTTACTTTCTGTGGTCCCTACTTGATCATTTGGACAGCACTTCCACACGTGTATTCTCATTTCTCCAGTTAGATAAAAGGCATCTCAAGTTTGCTTTGGATGTACAGTCAAACCTTTGGAGTTGCAAAACACGTAGAAGGGGAGAGAAAGAGCGATCAACTTTAATGTCCAATTTAGGCTAAAGTAAATTGAATTGTAGACTCAAGACAAGGAAATAATTGATGTTTGATATTTCAGTTGTAATTTAACCTAATACTTTGCAGTTTAATTAGGTTATTGTTATTTCATGTAGGAATGAATGCTCTATAGTTATTCTCTTAGCCACAGAAACACATACAGTTTCCTCTAGAATACAATAAAGATAGTGGGTGACCTATTTTAAAATGTTCCCATTAATATAAAGCAGCCCTGAAATAGGTTGATTACAATGGCAAGAATGTATAATCAATTTTAATTTTAAGGATACCTTTTAATTAGGTGTCATTAAGGTTGCATTTTTATATGCAACTGTTACTTTTCATTTTACTTTGAGTTTTTCTTTTAACACAGAGTTAAAAACTGAAGGCAAATCTGTTCAGTGACAATAACATGGTCTAATGAATTTGAAAAGTATTAAGTAATTCATGAATCATTAGTCTTGTTGATAATCTTGAATGAATGGAGCATGTAGCCAGTGCTTTATGATTTCTTCATAAAGTTGTCATCTTATTCTTAGTTGAAAAATTCTGCCCTTACTCTTAGGAGTCTATAGAAATAGTTTTTTTGCTGTTTTCATTACCTGTTTTATAGCAGTGATCTTGTATTTGAAATATAGAGGTCCTATTTCATATTAAAAGATGAGAATTCTCACCTATACCTGTGAGTGTACCTTTTCTCTTTGTAAATATGGTAGTTTTACATAATCTTAATTTCCCTAGAGACTGGGAATGTAACTCTTTGGTAAAGTGCTTGCCTAAGTTATCTTTTAAACTTTGACAGTATAGATCATTAGTAGGAAAAACTCCTGGAGTTGTTTAAGAAAAAAAAACAAACCAGAACAAACCAAAACTGTAGAACAGCAGAGAAGACTGACAGCAGGACAAGGAGGAAAGTAATAAATATACCAAGAAAGTTGACAGGAGGATGGCTAGACCAAATTGGGTTCAGAAAGCAGGACTGGATTAGCCAGTTGAGAAAGATTTCTGTGTATAAGCAGTGTAAAAGAGTATGTCCTAAGCATTAAAATAGGTGTATGTTCAGAAAGAATGTTCTTGCATAATGGTAGTAGATTTCTTGCAGGAGATTTAAAAGGTAGTAAACCCATAGCAGACTTTAGATGTCTCCTTCCCAGCCAAATGGCATTCAGCAGTTGCTGGAGTATTTGTTGCACACTAGCTGTAATTTGATCAAACAAAATGTCTAGAGCTAGGCTTGGTTATATAGGCCTGTACTCCCAGCTGCTCAGGAGGCCGGGCAGGAAGGTCGTAAGTTCAAGGCCAGTTTGGACAGCTTAGTGACAGCTTGACTTCATAGTAGGTGGCTGCGGCTAAAAATCAGTGGTAGAGTGCTCACCTGGCTTGTACAAGATTGTGAGTCCATTGTCTCACACAGGAAGTTTAAAAAAGTAAAGGACTGGATAATATTTTCAGTTAGTTTTAGAATGTCTGAAATGTTAGCTTAACTTACTGTAGTAAATGCTTGTGAAACTTAAACATTTTGTAGGTATTCTTTTTTTTTGTTTTTTTTTTTTAACGAGACGGGTTTGTCTGTATTGTTTTGGAGGCTGTCGGTCCAGCCTAGCCTCAAACTCACAGAGATCCCCTCTAGGATGGCATATAAGGTAGTCATCAATCTCGTTATCAGGGGATGGCATTTAAGGTAGCCTTAATGCCAGTTGGTGTCATTTTTGTAGATCTGTGAAGATCTCACTAGTGCCAGATCTCTCCTCCAACTTATGATGGCTCCCTCTATTATGGAATCTCTCATCCTTCTCCCTCAATTTTGCCCTGGCCCAACCTTCCTGCTCTCCCGTGTCCTCCTAACACCTCCTCTTCTGCCTCCCTCTTTCGCCCATCTCCCTCTCCCCTTCCCCCTGTTCTCAATCCGATTATGAGATCGCCTCCTTTAAATGTGCAGAGGGGCTGTCCATGGGGCTTCTATTCTCCCAGGCCCTGTCTCTTGGCTGCTGGGGTGCTTGCTGGCTGCATGACATTTTCATTGCCATAAAAATACAGAGCCAGAGACTCTGTCCCGTTCCTTCCCAGTCAATACCCCTCTTACCCTAGGAAACCATCGTTCTTACTTCAACAATATAAATTAAGTTTGCACTGGACAGAAAACCTCACGTTTCTTGCATGATAGTTATACCTCCCAGGCTTTTTTCAACTTTTTATTCACCAATGAAATAACGTCTGTCCAAATGGTTTGACATGATAGGCCTGTTTTCCTTTAATAACACATTACAATATGTAATTATAGAATTTTCTTCGTGTACCAATTAATAATATCTCTTGGGTCACCACTGGCAACAGGTTCATAATTTGTTTCTCTGATGCCACTAGATAATTTTTGAAGTCTATGGCAAATTAAAGACAATGGTTTTGTGGTGATCTAGCAGATCAAAGTCACAAGATTCACTGTAATAGTATTCATCGTGTCAGTGACAAACCCACCCATCCAATTGCTGAGTGCCTAGCCATGGTGACTGTACAGACGTCCAGACCTCTACCGTTAGATAGTGGCAAGCTCCATACTCTGACCCCTAGACAGGCTTTATTTGTGCAAGAAAGATATCACCACACCTAGCATTGATCCACCTTGGACACTAAGAAGACACTATTTCTTGGTTGGACATGAAACACAAGGATAATTTTTGTCAACATGTGTTAAGTGCTTGGACTTAGGTAAACATCAGGAGCACTGAGGAAGGGGGGCTCCAGGAGATGTGGCCTGTAGGAGAACTTGGTGGGCATTTTCCCAGCAGCCATTCCCAGCCACCATACTTTGATCACTTTGCTCCCTGGCCACAGTTGCAGTCAACCTAGTACTTGGCCAACATTTTTAAGCCTTTTCATTGGGTTCACACTCCTGATGGGCAGCCAGGCTGTCCAATCGTAATTCTTGGCTTGGCCTGTTACCCCGCCTACTCCCGGTCTGCACACAGCGCATGTGCTGGGTGAGCCAGTCAGTGGGAGTCTGAGCAGAGGCTGGTAAGTGTGGTTCCTGTGGACACCACTGCACTTGTTCTTGGCCCCAGCCGCCTCCGAGGGAGCAGCCACCTAAGTCCTTCTCCTCCGTGAAGAAACAGCTGCTCTGGAAAAGCCCTCGGGAGCCCTGGGAGCTGCACGGTGAGAGCAGAACCGAGGTGAGGGAGTTGAAGACAGTTTGGGCTTCTGAGGAGGGGGTGTGGGCGGGAAGAGGATGGAGGATCCTCAGCAGCACGAGCCGCCTGGGTGGGTGGGCGGCCTCCTGAATTCCGCTTTCTCAGGCTGCCGGCTTCAGTGTCTCGGCTGGGGCTTTCCTCCGAGGGAAGATGCTCGGTGAGGCTCCACCTGGACAGTCTGTGGCCTTGAGAGGAGGTCCCTGGGGCAGTCGAGCAGGGTAAACACCACATGCTCTGCTGCCTTCCCGAGCCTTTCCACCCTTTTTCCCTGAGGCAAAGACCAGGAACTGTGCTTCTACTGCCTCAGCCACCAAGCCCTAGGGCAGCCGCTAGCACTTTCAGACCTAGAGAGTAAGTAGGACTTTTGTACGCCATCAAACCATTGATTGAGAAAATCCAAAATTTTCCTCTCATTGAGAAAATGTGTACCCCTATACCCATCCCATCTTGCAGCGGAAAGATTGCGTCACATTAAGTTGTTAGACCCTACAGAGGATTCGGGAATTCACACTGAGGATTTGGAGTGAGCAACATTTTAGTGTTCAGTCTTTGCTTTTCCACTCCATAATGAATTATTACTACCCTCACCTCCTCCTCCCCCTTTTATTTACAGAAGTTGCATATTAATGTTTTTATTTTATGTTTAAATTTATATAAGAATCATGGTTGGTTCACAAGTCAGTTCCAGGTCCCTCTCGCTTTCCCTCCCCCCTCCCGTGCCCTCCCCCCAACTCCCCCCATATCCCCTCATTTCCCCAGGGAGGATGAGGCCCTCCGTGGGGGTGTCCATAGTCTGTCATTTCATCCAGGGCAGGTCCTAGACCTTCCCCACAAGAGTGCAGGGTGAGAGTGCATTTCTCATTGTTGGATGGGATTCCAAAGTCCACGTATAAACTCAGGATGAATACTGATCTACTGCCCAAGGCTCAATAGATTACCTAGGCCTCCTCACTGACACCCCCATTCAGGGGGGTCTTAATCAGTCCCATGTTGTATTCCCAGGCATCAGACTGGAATTCAAGAGTTAACCCTTTCAGGTTAGCTGTTTCTGGGGTTAAACCAGCCCAGTCTTAACTCCTTTGGTCATCAGTCCTCCCTCTCTGTTACTGGCTGTCTTGAGTTCAGCTCAGTGGGATTGTAGGCTGGCACTGCCCAGATCTATGTCTAAAATGCATATATGAGAGAGTACATGCCATGTTTCTCTTTTTGTTACCTCGATCAGGATGGTTTCTTCTAGTGCCATCCATGTGCCTGCAAATTTCAAGATTCCATTGTGTTTTTCTGCTGAATAGTACTCCATTGAGAAAATGTACCACATTTTCTCTATCCACTCTTCAGTTGAGGGGCATCTAAGTTGCTTCCAAGTTCTGGTTATTACAAATAATGCTGCTATGAACATAGTGGAACAGACATCCTTGTTGTATGAATGGGCATATTTTGGATATATGCCTAAGAGTGGAGTTGCTGGGTCTTATGGTAGGTTTATTCCCATTTTTCTGAGGAATCTCCATACTGATTTCCAAAGTGGCTGAACAAGTTGGCACTCCCACCAGCAATGGAGGAGTGTTCCCCTTTCACCACATCCTCTCCAGCGTAAATTGTCATTGGTGTTTTTGATTTTAGCC